ACACACACACACACACACACACACACACACACACACACACACACACACACACACACAAAAAAAGAATGAAGCAACTGTCCAAGTGTGACTTTATGATTTAAACTCGCCCAAGCATGGTAAAATATTGTATCCATGGTAAATTTCAGTATTGGGTAAAAATGCCATTTTGTCAGGATTAAAGCTAATAACAACAAGGCTCGTGTTAAAAGAGACACATACAGAATATGTGTTCAAAATAATGTACCTTTTGCAGGGGAATTCCACAGCGTTAGCCTCTGCTTTTCCTTCTTCTCTCACAACCACTTTGTCCAGAAACCATCCGCAGCCTCCACCTTTGCCGTCATGTCCAATCCTCATCCTGCGGATCTGCCCAATGGACACGGCCTCAACTATAAACTCATCCATCTTGAGCAACAATCAAAACAAAAATCATGTCAGGATATATTTGAGACTCCACGATGACAGATTGTTAAAGTTGGAAAACAACATTAGTTTCTGAATTTGATTTAACGTTTCAGACCCATGGAGCAAAGAATAATGAGTGTTTGATGCGTGTTAATAATTGTAGATGTGCAAAATGTACAAACATTTCCCTTCTCGAACTTGTTGACATTGTTTTTGCAGTTGATSAGCTGCCGTTCTCCGGTGTCCCCCAGGTCTCCAATCAGGTTTACAAAAATAGATGCATCTGTCCCGCTCCCGCTAACATTTCCCGTACAGACTGTCAGTCTGTATTTAATCACTGGAGAACAGAAAACTAACATTTACACTCTTCTTTTTGTAAGGAAGATTGTTTTTTTTCTTCAATTTTGGTTTGTGTTTTGGTAAACACGTGTACCAGGCAGTGGCTCATCAATCAGATCTCCAGAGGCAGGAAGCTCCCTCACAACTTCATTATCGTCTTCATTAATGTCCAGCCACCGCTCACAAGGGAATGTGTACTTCTCCTTTGTTAAGGTCTTCATCAGAGTCACCTAAAAAAATTAAAACAAAGATTGTTATAGCTATTAGAGGAGGGGGTCTTGGTCATTTTAATGAAGTGATAAACATTCATTAAAATTTGCATTTGGAAAAAAGCTAAATGAAGATCAGCAAAAGTTATTTTATGTCTTTCTAAAGCCAGAGAAACTAATATTGTTCTCTTTTAAAAGGAATGGATGGGGTTAGTTTTGGATTTTATGAGCTAACAAACAAAAATATAGACTAGAGAAATGTCATTTTCTGCATGAATGCTGACTGCTGAATGACTGCTGAAATTAAGTTAAAGCCTAAAAGTAGAGCACAAACTAAAAGGCAATCATAGCTAAAAGTAGTGAAAAGCTGGGTAAAAGTGGTTAAATGCTATCGGAATGCAGCAACATTTAAGTAGCAAAAGGTTAGCTACAAGCTAAAAGTAGCAAAATTCTGTCTATTAGCTTGAAGTATCAAAAGGGTAGTTAAAAGTTAAAGCATAATGTTAGGTAAAAGCTAAAGCAGCAAAATTCTAACTAACAAAAGGCAAGCTAAAATGAGCAAAAGTGTAGAAAACAGCTAAAAGTTGCAAAACACTTGCTAAAAGCTAAAAGTAGTAAAAGGCTAATTAATTGCCAGAAGTCACACATGAAGACAAAAACACAGCAAGTATGCTAAAGAAAAACTTAATTACATCAGTTGCTAAATAACCAGAGATCTCAATGTCCTGGAAAAAGGATTGAAAAGTTAGAACCAAAAGTCATAGCAGTCATGTTTTGAGGTGGCTAAATACATAAATGGTTGATAGAGCTAAAACTATCATGAATTTGATGCCAAAAGTGTAAAAACAAGTAAATAAACAGGAAAACAAGTTCAGTCAGATGTTATGTCAGCATCCACACAAATAAACCTAAATAAAAATGTTGAAACTCTAAAAATTTAAATTTTTTAATGATTTGGGTCACCTTGCTCAGATGCCATCCTGCAAACGGATTCCTCTTCTCGTGCCAGATTCGAAGTTTGATCAGTTTTCCCAAATCAGGCAGCTCAACCTGCGTGTTTAGATCTCAGATTAAGAAAAGTCTCATTGTTTGACTCATTGATGTTAAATATGTTTTTAATCGTAGCGTACTTACCATAAATTTGTCTACCTGTCCCTGCTCAAAATTGTCCGATTTATTGTCCAGCCTAATCTCGTCGGATTTACCCTTTTCTCCGTAAACCTGGAAGGAGATGTCGGCATCTGTTCCTGCGCTGGGCAGGTCTGACGTCCAGATCCACAGGGACCAGGGGTTCTCTGAGGATCAAACCATTCATCTTATTAAAGAGGATGTTTAATCATCGCTAATTTTTATTTTATTTTATTTTATTTTTGCTGTGACTGACAGGCAGCTCAGGAAAAGTTAAACACACTAGCTCCAAACTTTTTGGATGGCAGCCCAAGTCTTGAGTTTAATTCATGTCAGGTTATTTCTGGGTARTTTTGCTCCTTCAGCGTTTCAGTGGAGCCAAAGAGATGGCAGTTTTTGGCTTGTTAAAACATCCTCTCAGGGCAGACACCTCACTGCTGATGTGATTGTGGTGGACAGCTCTCAACTGGGAAACTGTGTTGTTGTGAATGAATGTGAAGCCATGCAGTAATGCAACAAGTCAAAGCCCAGTCTTCCAGGGAAACTACACTGCTGTAGTCATCGAAACATTTAACTCACTCTTCTGCCTCCTTTGCCTGAGTGCGACCATCTCATACAGCTCTCTCTCTATCAGCCCGTCCCCTTCGTCGTCATCCAGCCATTTGCTGCAGGGGAAGGTCTGCTCGATCCCGGTGAACGGACAGTACACAACCACCTGCAGAGAGCATAGCTGAGCCCACCCATTACCAGGCTGCAGTGTTGAAAGGTGAGTGTCAGCATTTACCTTCTCGCAGTACCACCCGGCGCTCACTCCATCGTTGTCGTGTCCGATTGTGACTCTGCTCAGCGGACTGAGGAGCGCAGCGAGCTCAACATTAAAGATGTCCGTTAAACCCCGTTCAAACTTCCCGCCTTCCAAAAACACCTGCAGGACATTTTATGGTTGGGGGCTTTAATAGTGAAAAGTAAAATCTTGTATCTGTGGAGAACCTATGAAGAATTTTTCTAAAGTCTGCAGCTCCAGGTGTAAATAATCGAGCTGTTTCTGGAACGTTACCTTGCCACTGTTCTTCAGGCCTTTGGTACCGTGCATCACTATGTGGATTTTGGAGTTGGTTCCCGCTCCTCGGATGTTTCCTGTCACAATCTGAATGTTGTACACGATACCTGATAGATCCAATTACATGTTAGTTTCACAGAGGAAAAGTCAGCACGGGTCACTGCAGCCACTGAGACACCGAACAAGATCAATCAGATTTCAACACTATTCAAGTTTCTGGTATCAGTGTTCTGAGAAAACAACTAGTAGTTTGTTATTTATTTAGTTTGATGAATTCTTTTCTGGTTTAACAACAGTTTTTCCTCCTCACCTGTGGGCTGATTCCCTCCCACCAAGATGTCCCTCTGAATCTTCCCATCATCCTCATCCAGGGCAAACCAACGATTGATGGGAAATTCATACACAATTTTGTTTCCCATATCATCTAAAATCACCTTAAGCAAAAGAAAAATATTAAATACAGGAATTAAAATAAAATTACTCTTTTAGTTGGTGCTGACAAAAAATTGTGACTTCTTTCATTATCTTTTTATTTTGCTCTAACCTTGACTTGCATTCTTGTACTCTAAAGTTCATTTACTTTATTGACAACATATGTTTCTTACAGTTGAATAGATGAGTTTAAAAGAGTTTATTCATTTAAATATTTGAAATTTGGCTAAAAGATGCAGGGCAGATGTTTCTGTAGCTGCTTCTTATTTTTTTGTGAAGGTAATGTTCTTTTTTATTCACTTTTATATATAGATATTTTACAGCTGCACGGAGCAACTTAAAAACAGTTAAAGTATGTTTTTTGATCTACTTTTTCAAGATCATAGATTGAATTTCCACTTTCCACCTTGCTAAATTTAAATCTTGATACAAAATGTAGTAGCAAAATAATTCAAACTTAAATATGTGACTGATAGAAAGAAGTTTTACACTTCTAGAGGTCAAAAGGAGCATCATGTCCTGTTGGTTTCTTCACACTTTCATAACAAAAATGTTCCTGGTATTACTCACATGTGCAAAAAAAAGTGAGTCTTTTATTTGCAAAATCTGACATTCCCTATATACCACAATAATGTATAATTATCCAAAGGAGGCACATATTGATTTATGGATGTTAATAATGTAGCTGAGTGAGGACATATACACACATATTCTTGTTTTACTATTATCATGAGGACATCTATGATTTCCAAGGTCATCTTAGGGGACCAAGCTTATGTCCACAGGCAATGTGAGTCCTCAATAGACGTTGTGATCTCAGGAAAACTGTCAAATTTAGTTAACACAAAGGAGAAACTGCAAGTACACATGCACACACCCTCACCTTTCTCATTTACAAGGTCACAAATACATACAAATTTTCCCACTTTATGTGGAAACACATGCTACTATACTTGTCTATGTCTTACATGGAATCCATGCTGACAAAAGCACCTTCTCCATTGTAAAGTCAATACTCAGCTTAACCTGCCTGGAACCAAAGAAAAATGCATTGGAACCAAAAATGGAGACACATTTGGTTGACTCTTATTTGATATAAACCACTTATAGGTGTACACATGGAGCTCAACAGATGCTGTAGCAAAATGGCCCTCAAACAGGCCATATAAAAGTTCCCCATGATGCCACAATTCTGTGACACAGAAGATCGACAGGATGTTGAAAACGACATGAGCCAAAGTTGACATGCATTGATGGGCTTGGACCCCGGTCATAACTGCTTTGCAGTTGTAGCTGTCTTTGTCACTACTTCGACACATTTGCTGGAAACTAGATATAAACTGTGTTTTTTTTACTATTTTTTCACTTTGTTTTCCGCACATATCGTCCAAAACACAAGTTTCAGCAGCTTATCACACATATAACACTTCATTATTATGAGCTGAAATGGTAGCCCAAATGAATGCAGAAGTTTTATCACAAGTGAACTTCAACATCAGTGTCCTGAAGTAACAACCAATTGTACTGACTCATCTGTCTGTGTGTGGTAAGGCTATCACTTAATGAGAGCCGGTTTCCCTTTACACAGAGGCTAGAATGACGACATGCGTGTCCTGTACGTGTCAAAGTGCTGCTCAGTTTGGACGAACTCATCCTTCAAAGTCTAACATCATGCTCATTGTGTTGGAAGAGCAGCTTCACATCAGGAAAACTGTCAGGAAGTGAGGCGATCTGAGTTTTGATTGAGATTCACATTTTTTATTCTGAAACTAATAAATCATCACTCTTTTATCTATATGAAATGAAAAAATATTTCTGTGTTTGTCTCTCACCTTTTCTACAAACCATCCTGCTGACGAGCCTTTGTTGTTGTGGCCGATGGTGATCTTTCTAATTTTGCCCAAGTTTGGCGCCTCGATGGTGAACTTGTCCTCTGTGCCTTTTTCAAAGTTGTTTTTGTCGCTGTCGAGGCGCCTCTCACCTGAAGACAATCAATAAAATCCATCAGCTGATTTGTATTTTTATTCTGGTTTGTTGTAACAAAACAGGTTTCTACTTTGGAAAACTGAAGTTAGAATATTGGTTTAAATGGGGTTCAGAGGAGAGGTTATGGATAATTAATATCCTACCTGTTGTAGGCAGCTCTTTGAACTACCTCTGTTTGCTAAAAATAGCTTAATTTTGATCTGATTTACAATTTAAGGATCAGTCAGACCCTTACCTGAATCCCCAAGTTCTCCAAAAATATTGATGAAGACGTCTGCATCTGTTCCGCTCCCTTTTAAATCTGAAGTGAAAACGCTCACCACATATTTATTATCTGGGAAACAATCCAAATTGAAACAAGTTTAGGAAAAAAAATTAACTTTTTTTCTGTATTTATTACCTTCATTGGGGTTAATCGTCAAATCAAAATGTGGTGAAGCTAAAAAAACAAACAAACAATTGTTTTGTACATTTGGGCATGTCCATGGGGTCCATGGTGGACAACAGGTCTCTGACATATAGGCCGTCTCCTTCCACTTTACTGAGCCAGTTATTACACGCAAAGTAGAACCTCAGGTGAGGCCGGATCACATCTGTGATGACCACTCTGTCCAGGAACCAGCTGGCATTCATCCCTGTGTTATCATGCTCAATCCTGCAATAAACCCCACAAGAATAATGTTTCAATAAATTTACTTTTTCTCCATAAATCTCCTCCACATTCAGCTATGTTTAGGAGCACATGTGCTAATTTCTAAAGGAACAAAACAAAGCACAATCAATGTAAACGCTTCACTGTACCTTATTTTTTTTAAAGTTCCAACATTATGAGTTCTGATTCTGAAAACATCAGTTTTGCCTTTCTCAAATGCTGTTCGACTCCTAAAATCACAGAGAAAATGTGCAAACGTAAGAGCCGCTCCCATTCTAATAATGTTTCAGCTGCATTATAAACGCAAAAGAATCAAACAGGAAAACTGAAGAAAATCTGGGATCAAAGTCTTAATTTTAAAAGCCTTGCAAAGTTTTGTCAAAACAAATCATGCAACAAAACTTAATCATGCAATCTGATTTACACCAATATCACAGCATGCAGACAATTTTCTCACCATTTTTTGATACTTACTTCTTTTCTGTGCTGTTAAAGTGAAATAAAAAAACAAGAAAAAAAGAGAAAAAACAATAGAAAAACAAAGTTTAATATTAAATACAAAAAGCTGCGTAGTCAAACAAACATACAACTAAAAAGTGTTCAATTTTGGCTTGTTACTTACTTTTTGTTTTACATTTGAGCACAGTTATAAATAATTTTGCATATATATTCTTTCTTGCTGAATTCAGCTTACTTGCTGGTCAGGTGGATTTTTGGTGTGATGCCATATTCTCCAAAGAGAGTGACGAAGACGTTGGCATCAGTTCCTGCTCCTCGCTCATCTCCAGTGATGGTCAGCACCTCGTAGACTACAAGGTTTAACGAGACAGAGTTTACCCTTCTGATGGACTTCAGATGTTTTTTAAATCCTTTTAAAGGCTTTCCGTTCTTGAAGAGATTTAATAAAGATGTCAGATTATGTGTTGTAAATGTCTCTCAGCTACTACCATCCAATCTTAGCTCAATATCTGCAAAGCATTGATGTTGAAGTCTTTTTGGTTTTGGTTAATGTCAATTAGCTGTGGCAACCTTCTTGAATAGGTAAACAGTAATCAGCCGTGGCTTTACATCCAATAATTATTTGACAGTAACACATTACAAGTTAATGCAAAAGTTTTAATTAAGAACCTCGTGCAACAAGGAGCACTTAGAGTAAGTGTTGTGATTAATTCTCAGCTACAACCACGCCACATTTTAGCACAATATCTGAAAAATTGATTGAATTAAAGTAATTTGTGTGTAGTATTAGATCGACAGGCTGCAGGGGTCATCTTGAACTGGATCGACACCAAATGATAATCCATGGAAGAGGTACATCCAGTGAATATTTCCTGAAAATTTCATTAAAATTTACCCAGTGGTTCATGAWATATTTTGCTAACAGACAAGCAAACAAATGTACACCATTAGAAGTTGTGTTGGGAAGGCTTGTGTGTTGCTATTATAAACACATAAGCTGGCAGAAAGTTTAATTTAACTGTTTTAAAGTCACACAAGTTGATTTGAAGTGCCTCCAGAACCACAGATTTTCAAAATAAAATGTAATTTTCATATTGAACAGCTATGGCATCATTGAACTTCAAACACAAATGTGAGTTTTTAGAAGTTCAATACACCAGTCTTTTATGTTTTTACTGTATTTAGTTTGCTTTTTAGATAACAAAAACAAGTAGAAGATGCTCAWATAACCTGTTAACAATGTATTTCAAAGCTTTTTGGTTTTATTTTGGGAAGTTTTCCATTTCAYATTGTGAAAGCACCACTTTGTAAAAGGTTAGTGACCAGTGCCATGTCGATAACTTACTGTTCACCTCACCCCATCAGTGTAACGTTACCGTGAACATTAAACTAATGTMCCGACACATAACCATGCTGAAGTTTGTGATTACCTTTCTTCTTGTGGTACTCGTCCTCGTAGTTCTCCTGTTTGTCTGGCTCGTAGCTGCGAAGCTCGTTCTCATAAATTTCAACGTAGTTTTCAATCTTTTTCTTCTTTCCTTTCGTCTTCTTGTCCTTGTCGTCGTCGCCCTTTACCGATCCTTTCATCTTCTTTTCTTTCTTTTTCTTTTTCCCCTCTTCTTCGTCGTCTCCTCCTTTTTTGGTTTTGTCCTTGGACCCCATCCTTTCTTTGACAGAGGCCTTCCTTTTTGAGCCTTTCCYGGCGGTCTCAATCACATCAGGGAGTTTCTCTCCCTCCTTCGTTCTCTTCGACTCGTTGTTGTTATCTTCATGGCTCAGCTCACCCTCACTCTCTTCTTTGGCTTTTTTCTTTGTGTTCCTGACCTTTTCTTTGTCTCTGACCTTTTTGTTGCTCTTCACAGGAGGCCCCGCTGCATCCGAGCTGTGCTCTTCTTCATCGCTGTCCTTATACCTCTTCTTCTTCTTTTTCTTCAGTTTTTCAGCATCCTTTGAATCCCCTGCCTGCTTGCCTTTCTTCTTTAGCTCAGGTTCCAGATCCTCCGAGTCGTCGTCRTCGTCATCCACATCTTTGGTTTCCTCCCCTGCCCTTTGAGACGTTTTTTTCTTTTTTGTGGGCATCTTTAATTTATTTACTCCCTTGTAACCGATTCCCGGGTGTTCCGGTGAAACTTGATTAAACTGACCTGTGGCCGCGCAGGAGTGACCAGCTGGCAGGACGAGCCAGAGCCGGAGTTTTACAAACAGGTCTCTCTGGTGCCAGGGAAACCCCACCTGCAGCAGCAGATGACCTCATTAGCTGTGATGAACTGCGTGTGGTCACCTGATCAGAGGAGGAAGCCCTTTCTCAGAAGGGCGAGCTATTGTACTATCTCTCTTTTGTGTTATGAAACAAGAGAAGGCGGTAAAAATATTCAGCAGTGGAAGTATCAGGAAAATAACTGAAGGCCTAGAATTCCTTGAAGGAATCACCTGCTGCCTTTTAATACCACTTTTAAACTGAGATCATCTCATAAGAAGGGATGAAGTTAGCTGTAAAAGTCAAACTTTGCAAATGCAGACTCTCTTGGGATACTTATAAGAGTTTGTGCAATCTGTTAGCTCGAAAGTAGCCTGGTAAAAAACCAGCCCCTTGTTCTTTGCTTTGCTTCATACAGAGGGTCTGGACTCTCGGCTATTGAGCCATTGCTTCCTGGAGGCGTGGCCTCTGTTGAAGTTTAAAACGATTGGATCTGATTTACCCATTCGCTAACAGTTGGCTGCGACACATGTGTGCCAACTTCACTGTGAAAGAGGCTAAGCTAAGAAGCTAACCGGAAATTGCATGTGCGCTGTAAACAAGCATCCCCTACCGAGAGGAGAGAAGTACGCTACACAAATATCAGCTCAAAATCGGTCAAATTAACCGAGCTGTTGTTATTTTTGCATTTGATAAGATTGCTTTGTTGTGGCAGAAATCTTTAATCAGGCTGACTGCTGTGGTGGAGTGGTCAGAGGAGTCGTCCTGTAACCGGTAGGTTGCCGGTTCGATCTCCCGTTCCAGTGGTCTCAGCCATTGTGTCYTTGGGTAAGATACTTCACCTRCCTTGCCTACTGACGGTGGTCAGAGGGTCCGGTGGCACCGGTGCATAGCAGCCCTGCTTCTGTCAGWGGACCCCAGGGCAGCTGTGGCTACAATGTAGCTTACCACCATCAATGGGTGAATGTCTGAAGTGTAACGTGCTTTGAGGTGTGGACTTGATAAGGTGCTATATACAGGGGGTTAGACAATGAAACTGAAACAACTGTCATTTTAGTGTGGGRGGTTTCATGGYTAAATTGGACCAGCCTGGTGGYCAATCTTCATTAATTRCACATTGCACCAGTAAGAGCAGAGTGTGAAAGTTCAATTAGCAGGGTAAGAGCACAGTTTTGCTCAAAATATTGCAATGCAATATAACAGGTATGGGTGACATACCAGAGTTCAAAAGAGGACACATTGTTGGTGCACATCTTGTTGGCACATCTGTGACCAAGACAGCAAGTCTTTGTGATGAATCAAGAGCCACAGTATCCAGGGTAATGTCAGCATACCACCAAGAAGGACGAACCACATCCAACAGGATTAACTGTGGAYGCAAGAGGAAGCTGTCTGAATGGGGTTTGAATGGTCTAAAACCAGGTGTTTCAGTTTCRTTGTCTAACCCCTGTAAGTTCATTCCATTTGCCTTTCTTATCATTTTWMCMARRKWAATTTYYKKTWAA